ATAACGATATTAATGTAATTTTATTATTATTTGTATTGTATAAAAGTTTTAATTTTTAATTTTTAACTTTGGTATAGTTCTAAAAATACATCTTCTAATATAATTAAGAGCAAGTTATAATAGTCCAGCGAACGAGAAATTGTAAGAAATATGCTTAAAATCTGCATCATCTTTATTAAAGTGTAATACATTCTTTATATGTTCCGGTGTCACTGTTCTTTTATATTCCGTAATAATAGCGCGTAAACGTTAAATGTGGCGGCGGCCAAAGTGATCTCGGCGGCCACGAGTCTAGACATTTATTATTGATGAACCGCCACATGGAAAATGGATATTAATATAGTAAGCTAAATTTACGTAATAACTTTATTATGTTAATTGTATAAATCAGGGATCTATTGAATTGGATCATTATTATACGAATCGCGGAAGCGGAATATAAGAATCATCTGCGCAAGATAATTTGAGTTAATAACGAATGGAAATGTAGTTCGTTACGTCTTCATTATGGGCGATGAATAATTTTTAATCCAATAAGTAGCTGACTTAACTTCCATCGAATTGTCAATAAATTGTCCCATTCTCCCGCAATAAACAGCGTCGAACGGGAAACGATTCCTTCCTTCGTCATAATGAATAAGCCGTAACGAACAATTACGCGAAAGTAATTTCTTAAACTACGGGGAAAATTCCAATTAGACGGAAGTCCCGCAGTAGTAGCTCAATAAAGATATTGCATTAAGCACGATAATTGATTAGCACCGCCTTTGGGTCTCTAAACTTTGTATTCATTGAGCCCGAGAGCTACCCTCGCATTGATTAAAACGGGAGCCCAATTCACTGGCGACATCATAGATTCGTCGGCATATCAGTAATGCGAATACAAATTCGCAATAATTTTTGAAGCATGTACCAATGCGTAATTTAGTGAGCATACGCTATTAATCATACGTCGACCATACTGATATATGCAATACGAAATTGTATCAGTGCTTAATTATATTTAAAGCTATATAGAAATAGATTACGATTTTCTGACTTTTCAAATAAAACATGATATATTTTGAGCTTTTTTTCTCTTAACCTTTTCATACCGCATGTACGAACTATCCAATTTCATTTCACAAGTAATGCAAAAGCTCATACAATTACAGTTTCGAAACACTGTTTGTTCAGTTTCCGCTCTTTTTCTCTTTTTTCCCCCTCTTTTCTGTTTCACCGGATCGCATTTACATTGTAACTACTCCAACGTCGCGCGAAATCATGAGAGTACGGACTTGTGAACTATTTGCGGAAGTTATGATGCCCCAGATATACGGAAAACACGGGAGAAACATAACAAGCAGTAGTTTCGTCGACGCGGTGAAAAAAGGCCGCAGGACTGCAGTGGGACTACTGAACTTTCCAAAGTAAGCTTCTGTCTGCGTACTGCAGCGACGACAAATGTTACCTCGGGGCTACGCGAGTCTGAGACAAATATATTTTTCACGCATCCCTCTTTCCTATGCAAAGTGATGAACCTATTGCGTTGAGCGATAGCGCGTTTTCTAGACACCGCGATATCCGTCGCAACGGAATTTTATTTATTCGCGAAATAACATATCGGTGGATTTTCATGAAATCCGCCAATCAGTCTGGTTGAATAATAAGTCATCGAGAGATAAAACATCATTGCGCGATTTCCTTTCAGTCTGCTTTATTTTCAGAAATATCCTCGCCTACTGAAATATCTCTTGCAATCAATATTCGTTGGAAGAAGAACGAACAGTAACGTGCAGCAATCAAGTTCGGAATTACGCATCATTGATACTCTTTCCTTAGAGATATTTTATATTGCACATTTATGCAGTATTTTCGGAAACTGTCCATGCGCTGAGTGTATTTTTAGCAAAGAAAAGCGTAAGAAGAAAGTGAAGGCTCTTCTCCGTACTCCCAAGTTAAACATAGCATCATAAGATGTTCGGTGTTTATACAAAAGTTCCCGGGGACTTAATTCTGTGACGTTTTATTTCTCGAAATGGTCTCCACCGTGCATCGGATACTCGGCAAAAGATACGAAGTTCCACGGACAAAAGTAGAAAGGAAGTGCCTTCATCCGCACGTACAACGAAATAGAAACTGTCGCTGGAGGTATATTAGATTCCCTCGAAAATAAACGATCGTTGATACGAAAAGTATCGAGGAAAACGAGTATTACACAGTATCGTGATTGAAATTGTCGCGAGACGTCAAAACATAAATTGAAATTCGTATTTAAATATTACATATCGCGTTGTGTCGATATCGAAAGGTCCGGTAAATATTGCAAGGTTATTTATTCGATGCAGCACAAACGCCAAACGTTTGTACATCATATATCGCGCGGTAAGAACAGTCGATCATAATTTGTATCTCGCTAGTTTCGTTTCGACCCACTTTAGAAGAATAAATTTTTCACACCTGAATTGACTCGCGGCGCGCTTGTCATTCGCGATTAACGGCTACATTTGTAACGGGGCACATTGAAAATGCAATTTTATCGCAAACCAGAGACGATAATCTGTTTTATGTTTGTGTTAATTCGCACAGAAAGCTCGGTTAGATACTATAAATCGATAAACATAATGTACTATAGCTGTACCCCATGTTTTTCATATTTTCGATCAAACACATTATTTCGAAATTGTACCTTTGTAATGCAATTGGTATAACGTTCGTTAATAAATCATGTGTGTAATGTTTGATCGACATAAGTTAAACGAAGCATTAAGCCGGCAACACGGCTTGACGGTACGAGCAATTATTAATGTCCCATAATTATTAGCACGCGATTATTCAAGAGAGTAAATCGGCGTGTTTCCCGGATTTGCAACACCGTCATGTTCAACGTTACTCTCATAAATGCAACTTTCGATTACTCGCTTCGCAGACGCGATTTTAGTGTACGACACTATTATTCATTTATTTTTTAACAGACGCTGAGAGTATACAAACATCAATAAAGCCAACAATCGTCAAGTCAATGATTTTGAAACCATCATACATTCGATATATGCATGTACATTAACCATCGGACTATCATGTATTTAGCCTGCAGCATTAGTTCGTAAACGCCTGACTAAACTACATATCAGTCACGTGACGCTAACTAGTTTCCCATAATTCAAAATACAGATCTAGATTCAATATTACAGACATTAGAGATAAAAATAACACGGCATTTTGATAACATTCTTTCTTACAAAAGTATGACTATAGATAAAATAAAGAATCGTAAAGTACGCATGGAATTTACAAAGCAATTAAAAATAAATATCGCAACTAACTTAAAGGCATACCATCGCAAGCCTCTATCGGAGGAATTAAACAATATTTCTCGTAGCTCGCTATACGAACTGCGTCAATGCGCGAATTCGCGAGGAGCACGGTATTTACGTCGAGCCGGTACTTAATGGCGAGAAGAAGTTCGGAAGTTAAAGGCTAAACTTGCTGCTGCATTCCGAGACCTGTGCGCGAGAGACTTCCCGCCGGATTACCGATTAAAAGTTTAACAGCCCGAACTTTTCAGCGACTTTACACAAAGCGACATGCCGAAGTCGACTCGGGGCACTATTCGCGCCGCGTTCTAAAGGGGGATGTTTCAAAAGCTGATTATGCATCGGTAACAATCGTCGATTCGTTTCAAAGGAATCCCGAGTTATTGGGTCGCGCGCACGTGGCTCGCTGGTTGGCCGTTAAAAAAAATTTCCTCGCCTTTCCTCCTGTCGAAAGTATTAACCGGACGAAGTACTTCATGAAAGTAAAACACGCGCGGCCTCGCGCGCGTTATGAAAGCCGCATAATATTAGCATACCCCTTCGGCCGCATGAAGCATATCTCCATGATAGAGCACGTCGAATATCGCGCGACCGAGAATGAACGGAGAGATTGATGGAATTTTTGAGTTCGTCCAAATATTCGTTCCCCCCCCCCCCTTCTCCCATTCTTTCTGTCTATCGCGTAAACCGACGTGACACCATCCCTCCACACATACGTGTATGTATACCGCTTATAGTACATGTGTAGTACCGTACGCGCGTGTTATTGCATGAAAAATATTTTATTTCGCCAGATGTACATACATATATACAAATATTCATTTATTAGATTTCTTTTATTTTATTTTTTTTTTTAAGAAATGTTTTCAGAAAACCAATCATCGTCGCGTAGGAAGCAACCGAGAGAGAAAAGAGAGTAAGTCATCGGAGAAAAACTGAAATATTATCTTTTAAAAGCGCAGACATTAAGAGCGTTATGAAGTTACGTAACAAAGGAGAAGTTTAGGTGCCAAGAATATTAAGTTCTCCTAGCAACGCGCGCGCTCGAAAAGAAAAAAAGAACGGAGTGAAAGAGGGAAGGAAAAAGAAAATGAAAGTGTCGGGGGATATAGCGAGGAGGGAAAAATTAAAGCGTAGTTGAGGCGGCAGAGAAGAAACGGCGCGTGATATATATTTCGCTGTTGAAGATACATCTGTGGGCGAGCTAAACTGAGACAATATTTGCATATCTATTTGTGAAGTACGACGATTCCACGCACTCCGCGGAATGATGCGGGCTCTTTCTGCCGCAATACCGGCAAACGTCAGCGAACGAAACAATGAAAGCTCTCGAAACGGACGAGGAAAGGTGGAGCTTTCTCGCCGCGCCGCGCCGGCAATGTCTTGTGTCCAGAAGAAATTTCCGAGTGAAAACAGGCGAAGCTATTCCCGGCGACCAACCGCGCCCGCTACTTCTTCCACTCTCGCATCTCTCCGTTTTCTACGGGGAAACGGAGTCGTCCCCGTTACAGTCCTTCCTCATCTGCATTTCGCTTTTATATACTTTCTTTCTCCTTATTTCTACGCTGTCTTTATGTAGCGAAGCGAGGCAGAAGGAAGAAAAGCACTCCACTCGCGTAGATATTTCTCTTTATGTACACTTGACATATAAAAATTTCAACTCCGAGAATAATTCGTGCCGTTTGTTAAACACAGCTTCAGACAGTAGCGTTACTATTGTGTTTTCGAGCGTGATAACCAACTTAGAGGGCAGTGAGGCCGGATTGTAAAATGATACGCTAGAAACCACGAGAATCTGATTTAAGTTCTAGTTGAAAGATCAAGCTAACATGCGTATAAATGTATAGCATAAAGACACAAAGTGATCAAGATGATATTGCAACATATTAAAAAAAAATTTGTCTCGAAATGCCTGAATTATTTTGAATAACCTTAAACGACAAAATTCTAAGACGAGTAATTTATATTTGTAAAGATAAAACTACAAAATTTTCAATTATATTACTGAAGAAAAATCATGAATCGTCGCGCTTTGTGTCCAATTAATGCGCAGTCACCGTACGATGAAGTATCGCATGAGATTGACAATAACATTTTAACCATTAAATTACCTAAAGATAAACATCGCGTTCAAACCGTGGATGAACAACCTGCCGAATCTATCATTCATGCTAATTGTCTGGATAAATATGGTAAAATATTATTACAATATAAATAGCAAAATTAATACAAAAATATAAAAGTAAAATCCATTATATTATTTAAGAATATTATTTCTATTATAATACGTACTATATTATTAATTGTAATAGAAATATTAACAAGATTACTTATAAAACTAGAATATATGTTGTGTATTAAATATATGTCTTCCTTGCAAGGTAAGAAATGCAAAAGAGGCTGTCCAAAAATCAACGTAGTACACAATCAGGCACTTACACCGAAAAAACCGGAGGAAGAAATATTACTACTAAAGACAACAAGACAAATTACTCTCACCGATGATATGAAGCACAGTCTTGAAGTGGAATTTAAGTCACCGCGAAATTATATCCCGTTACCGGAATCAGGACCTACTCCGCCTATAATTATTCCGAAAGAACCTGTTATCGTGAAGAAACTTGAGGAAAAAGGCAAAAAAAGGAAGTAAAACAATAAAGATAAACATCTAGCAAGACTTTTAAACACTATCTGTGAGAAATATTTTACTTGTGTAAGTAAAGTCTGGAAAGAAATCCTAATTTGCAAGATACAACAAGACCAATGATAGACACTTGGAAAAGTAATTTGTAAATGTAATAAAAAATTCATTTTAACTACACCTATTTAGAATTCTTTAAATATAAGTATGACAAACCATCAAATATATGGATCAATTTATTCTCTCGAAACTCATCATTGTTGAATAATTCTCCGATAAAATGATAAACCTCTGTAAACCTTTGTAAAAAAATGAAAAAATAGTGTAACAGCGCACATACAAGAATAAAGTACATTAAAGGAAATTGCTGTATTAATTTTTATCTTAAAATGTTTTTAGATTCATTTTCTCTTTTTAGTGATAGAGGTGCTAGGTTTACAGAAATAAATGATAATCATAGATCAATTTCTTGGCACACCCATCCTTCCGCCATTATTGCAATATAGATCGAACGATTTTGACGTTAGATACGAGCATCTTACAGATTTACGAGTTGCGAAACTGAAGTGTTCGCCACTTTGTCGAAAACACGGAGGCGTGCGCGGGGTCGAATAACGGAGCGATAAATCACCGGTGGTATTATATTCTTGCCCGTCTTGGGAAACAATAGATCATAACGCGTATATACGGATACGTTGGTATTAAACCGTTTTTGGGCCCATTGTCGCCTACCGTCGCCGTGACGCCAGTGACCTTTTTAAGCCGCGCTTTAAGTTTCACCTCCCTCGCGCCGATAAATCACCACGATTTTACCTGCTGGTAAGAGAAACGCGAACGCGGAGCGCGCTCAAAGGGAATCGGCTCTCCGATAAAGAGTTTGAAAAAGGAAGGATCTCCGCAAATATTCCATTAGGACGCGTTCGCTAAGAGCCGGTGTAAAGTATCACTCGAAGCTCTCGTATTGCCTCCAACGAGGGAAACCAGGAAGCTAAGGAGTGTGTGGTAACGGAAAGAAATGCGAGATCAACGGAGAAATGAGAGGAAATCGATACGGATAAGGTGACAAAAAGACCTATTTTTGAGGAAACGTAAAATATTCATTGTTGAACGGGAGTGCAAAAACGATCTTCACTTCGATCTTCAATAACATTTTAAAGCTTTTGAGCTTTTATCGACACTCTTCCTTCGCCTTGCTCTTTTTCCTAACGAATATATAATTATGCCGTACTTGAATAAGATTCCAATTGAAAAAGCTTCTGTATCTAACGTATATCTCCTGTTTCAGATTTTTTTCTCAACTGGAAAAAAATGAAAAAGTGAGAGGTTAGATACCGCTTCGTTTACTTTGATTACATCGTGTCTGCAATCCCCTAGATTCCTGCGAGCTTTGAGTTTCCCGTCCTCATGAATCAGATGTACTTACGAATGCCATGATTTGCGGCGCATGATTTGTGAGAGAGAAAAAAAATGAAGGGGGAACGACAAGAGGTAACGCGACGTGAGCTGATAAAAGATCGCGCGCGTGACGTTTTTTGCGCGGCGATCTTTTATCGGCTCACGTCGTGCGACGTAACGAGTGACGAATCGTTGTCGGGAAAAGGTGCTGTAGTTACATTCAAAAATTGGAGGGATTACTGCTGCTACCGCCGTCTCAGTAGCGAGGGTAGCGGCACGAAAGGTAGATACATCCGCAATCGAGAGGAGGGCGGGATGATGAAACGCGTCATTTGTCTCCGCGGACCCAAAATACTCACGGTACTCAACACGAAGAACATCGGGTGCGGTTGCGAAGCCGTAAAAGCCTGGCAACGACAAATGCATCCGCTTGTTGCAAAGGCACGCGAGTGCACGCGCAAGTGTCGGCCCGTGCACTGGATGGCTGTAATTGGGCGCTGGTTACAGAATTCATTGCCGCGTTTAGGGCCTTAAACGGCCGTGAGATAAATCACGATTAAACGCGACCATCAATCTAAACTCCAACATGTAACGCCATGTAAAACAGAATGCGGTACTGCGGTCAATGCAAAAGAAAGGGAGTAGACATACGTGAAATCGATATTTTAACGTAAATTTTAACGTAAACTATATATATATTTTTAACGTATACTATAAAAAATAAAAACTCATTAAAAAAACAATTTTCTTTGAAAGATTAAACACTGTCATGTATGGAAATATTTGTCGTATAAGCGTGCGTTGTATCTGCGTTAATATTCGTGCGTAGTATCCGTAATCTGGGCAACCAGGGGCAGAAATTTCGTTGCCACATTTAAGACCAGCCTAACCATAACACAGACCAGCCTGAGTATCGAATCCGACGTTGAGCAAAGCTGGTGGAACCGCAATTTACATGCGCAACGTACTGCCCTTAACACAGCATAGGTATAGCCGAGCTAATGGAGGACCTTACTACAGACAGAATTGATGGTCGCGATAACAAAGGCCTAAATTTATTTCCGAACGGAAAAATATATCAGAATTAATTCAAGGACATTCATGCATATTTCTCTTTTAAGTAAATCTTGCTACGAGCTGTAATTCGCAGGATTTTTACGCACATCAGATTGATAATAACTGACGTTTTTCTCTGACGGGTGACGTAAACATCCCGTTTTTTTTTTGGAAATCTGATAGTAATGCCAATGCGAAATCGGCACGCAAACTTATCCACGCGATTCACTGATCATACACGCTCGAGTAACAAATGCGGATTCGCGCACGTATATCTGCCACGTGATAGAAATGCGCTGTATAATTCCGCGTTTGTACATTAGAGATAAATATAATGCGAGATTAATTGAATTAATGCTAGAATCGTTTCTTCGCTGATTTTGCATTTTGTCAACAATATCTATTTAATTATAGCTCTTCGCCCGTGTGTAGCCTGTCCAAATAAAAGGTTTCCGATGGAAAGCGATTTAAAAAGAATAATAGAAGATGTAAATGATGATGAACATGATCAAATCATTTCAAAGATTACAGATATAATTTCGAGACTTAAAGAGATGTGATTTATTTGATAAAGAAATAAAAAATAATAATTTGGCTTTATTAAATATCATGGATATGCTTTCAAAAATAAAAATACCGGAGAATAAAGTCGAAATTAAAGAAAATAATCTGGCTTCACCAAAAACTAAAGAGCTGAAAACAACAAAAAACCCATATTCCAAAATATGGGTTTTTTGTTGTTATATAATTATATTAAAATATGGGTAATACAACAAATGCAAATGTGATCAAGAAATTTTTGATACAACTTACGTCTTTTACATCGTTGCAAATCGTGCTTTGTCCTCACTCGTGCATAAGACATCAGAGATTTCGCCCTAAAAAAAAAGAAGCAGATGTATTTAGAAAAGCCAAAGGAAATGATGGGATACGGGTGATAACGGCTCTACCGTGCAAGAAATGTGAAATCCTGATTAACATACAAGTGAAATAAGGAGCCCAAATATTGTAAAAAAAAATTTATTACCCGGAATTAAAGAAACTGAATCAGGAAATTTAATTGAAATTAAAAGAGCAAATAAAATTTATTTAGTTTTTATATGTAAAAATAATATTAATGAAATGACAACAGAAATTTTACAAAAATTGTTAATTAAATTACGCGATGATGTAAATGTGATCAGGGGATTTTCGATACAACTTACGTCTTCACATCGTTGCAAATCGTGCTTTGTCCTCACTCGAGTATAAGACAACAGAGATTTCGCCACCTAAAAAAAAAGAAACAGATGTATTTAGAAAAGCCAAAGGAAATGATGGGATACGGGTGATAACTATCGGCTCTACCGTGCAAGGAACGTGAAATTCTGATTAACATACAAGTGAAATATTGATAACATGACAAGAAGACTAATACCTCTAAGTTAATTAAATGTAAAAAAAATCTTAATATTTATTTGTATCCCTCAAATTTAATTTCACTTTCGATTGCTCTTAATAAAAAAAAAAGTTTAATTTCTCAACTATAAAAAATAAACTGATAAAACCCGAAAAAACCCATTGGGCTGGGCTTTTTTTAAAAAACCTGGGTTTTTTCAAACCCTGTGTATATCTCATATTGTAGAGAGAGAGAGAGAGAGAGAGAGAGAGAGAGAGAGAGAGCGCGCGCGCGCGCACGAAGCTTTCATATCATATTCTGATTAACTATCCGGCGGTGCAGCTACCCTAATTATCGCAAATAAGCGAATAATTAACCATGTAACCAACAAATGAATTTACTCACCATCCGCAGCCAAAGCGTGCGCCGTAATAATCGCCTACTGCTTCATTATGGCTGCCACAAACACCCATATTCGCGATACGAATGGAAAACTTTAATCGCTCGCCAATTAACATTCGCGACACTTTGTGCGATACTCTCGCGACGCGTGCTGACCGCAGCACGCGCTATACGACGCAAAAAAAAAACACTCACGCACTCCGCGGACCGAACGGCTGAGAATAAAGCCAATATAACGATTACGCGACGTTATTCGCAATGCCGTGGTGCAAACTACTCCGGCTCTCGCAAACCGTAATCGAAGAACGCGATCGTCAATCGGTATCGCATTGAATTTCGTAAACTAAAACGCGGCGGGTTATTTAACATTAAATGTGAATAAAGACAAAATGATCGATGCGTCAGGTGCAACATACGTGAAACGGAATGCAGCCGAGATCGATTATATTCAAAATCGTACGTAATCAAGATAAACACGACGTTCCCCTCCACGGCCGCGGACCGACACCACTCGCGATTCGCGAACGGAAGTCACGTGGCACTGGCGCCATCTCTTTACGTGGCCGTCCTGGCCGCGAGGGAAAATCACGGCACTCGCGCCATCTCTGGTCGCGATCCGTCACCCGCTCGCCCGACGTCGCGCGCGACGATGGTCAACACCCTTCGGCGACGACACTTCCGTGAGTTCCGCGCTGTCGCGGTGCCCGGCCGTCGTGCGGTACTTATTGTCCGTCGTCGTCGTCGTTGTGATCGGGAGAGCGAAAGGGACATTGGCAGCACTGACGATGCTCCTTTCCAGATGGTATCTCCGGTGACTAATACGCGACTCGACTGTACATACGTGCATACTCCACTAGCGTGCATCACCACGGTGAGGAGGAGCGTTTTAAACAGGCCGTATCTCGTGCAGCGCGTGAAATGAGCATTCCCTGAGTCCGCGGTAAGTGACGAGGTGCACGATAACGCGTAATCCCTTCTTTCTCATTCTCTCATTCTCCACCTTTCCCTGCGCATCTCTCGTCTCTCGCGATTGTTTACCGCGAGAGGCGACGCCGATCACCGATCTCTCCAGCTCTCTTACACGGCTCGAGAGGATGTCCTCTCGTCGTTGAGTAAACACCCTCTCGGCCGACGATCTTGTCCGGAGCCGCCGCGCGACCGCGCTCCGTGCCTCCGCAATCGATCTCCGTGTGTCCGTCCGCACACACGTTTCTTGCACACGGCCACGCGATTGTTAACGAGCGGCCTGCCGCTTATTTATATCGCTCCCTTTTTTTTTTCTTGCTCTGTCGCCCGAAATCCAGGACACGCAACTCTCCCACTGGAGAATGATTTACGAGTAAGGTGAACGTCACCGGGCGCGCGCGCGCCTAGCTCCGTTAAGCACATGTAGTAATTGCGAATGACTAATACCCAGCGATTATATGATTGCGTTGGGCAGGAGACGGCACTAGGCTGTCGCTTAATAAAGCTAAACAGCTTGAAGATTATTACCGCTGAATGCTCTTCTCTCATTAAGCCACCGTTGACTTGTACGTTTCACAATGCGTTTCCCCTGTTAAACGCGTCTTTAATATGCTGTAAAAACTGTCATATTCTCTGGACGAAAATATCGCAGTCGAATAAAAAGGTAGAAGTTCATTAAGAAATCACACAATGGCTGTAAAGCTGTTTTTTTTCGCACGAGGGGCAATTGTTAGTTAGAGCTTACATTATTTATTGTATTTGAAAAGATGAGAATTTAGAATTTTAGAGATAAGTCGAGTTAAACTTAATCCATAAACATTATTTTAAAGTTTTTTCCTTAAGCCACAAGTATTGTTTTAAAATTTTTTCCTTATTTGATGATTGATAAAGATAAAAGGACTTTGAGTAATTTTTATTGATTATATTTATTTTTTTGTTTTTTGTACAATCATTTTTTATCTTTCAACTAAATTTCATATTCTCTATTATTGCAATATGCAGATAAGGTTATTCTCTATAATTTCAAAGCATTTAAAATTTGTCACTTATGAGATAACCTGATAAATTGATCTGTTTTAATCTGTATGAAGAGTGCAATCTCTTTTTAATAACAAATCAATAAAATTAGTTATACGCAGCATTTCTTTATTTTAATTTAAAGTATACATTTTGATAGATACAAACATATTCTTAATTTACACTTTATCTTATCGGTTTGATAAGGTTTCTGTGAAAAATTAATTTTTTTGATAAGACTCCTTATTGATATATTTCTTAAAATCTTAGTAAGGAGATTACATTGGTATAAAAAAATAAATAATATAATTATATCATTGTATTTATTATTGGCAGACAATCCAAGAAATAATCAGAGAGAAGTAATACAAGCTACAACTTGTGTTGAGAAACTGCATCATGACAGAATACAAGCTTGTGGTAGTTGGAGCTGGAGGTGTTGGAAAATCAGCGCTCACCATCCAGCTGATACAGAATCATTTTGTCGACGAATATGACCCTACCATCGAAGACTCATATCGAAAACAAGTAAGCATACATCAGCTTAATTTTTTCTATGATTTCATAATAGTTTCCATTAATTCCTTATTTCACATTGAATTATTGTTAAATTTAATCAATAATAAATATATCTTAACAATGCAGAAATCTAGAAGATTTAAAATTGTAAATTCGTACGTCTTTTCTTATCTTGTTAAATACATATCATTATGTTGTTATTAAACAGGTGGTGATCGATGGCGAGACGTGCCTTCTAGATATATTAGACACAGCTGGACAAGAGGAATATAGTGCAATGAGAGATCAGTATATGAGAACAGGAGAAGGATTCTTGTTAGTGTTTGCTGTGAACTCGGCTAAAAGTTTCGAGGTGAGCATATTGGGTGGACAACTTGTTTAATTTAAAACGAATGTGAAATCGATTGCATTACACGTTCAACGTTACAGGACATTGGAACGTATAGGGAACAAATAAAACGAGTGAAAGATGCGGAAGAAGTACCAATGGTGTTAGTAGGAAATAAGTGTGATCTTCAGCAGTCTTGGGCGGTAAACATGGGTCAGGCGAGAGAGGTCGCGCGACAGTATGGTGTGCCATTTGTAGAAACTTCCGCGAAAACGAGAATGGGCGTAGACGATGCATTTTATACCTTGGTGAGCAAACACTTTCTTTTCCTTCTCCGTATCTTTAAAGTGTCATAAATTTCAACTAGCGTCATAACACTCGTAATATATTTGTATATGTCGAAAATTTTTCTGCATAATATCAAGTTTTCATAACTACGTTTTTGAAATACATAGTTTCGCGAAGAAGTTCAAGTGACAAAGTTGCGTTGCGCATTTCAGGTCAGAGAAATACGGAAAGATAAAGAACGTACAGGTAAACCATCTGGCAGTAGCGGGCATAAGAAGCGTCGATGCTGTCTTTTATAAGTCTTTGGATAACACCAATATACTTTTACTCGACTACTACGACTACTACAACGCAGAAATAGAATATAAAAAGCCTTACATTATGTTCACGGTGCACAAACATTTACAGCTTATTCTATAGACTATTGTAATGAATTGCAAGCACAATTTTTTCTATACATTGAGAAAGAAGAACAAATTACCTAATAGTACGTTTTTACTAATGGGCTTACGTTGCATATAAGATGTTTACTTGGCAGCTTACTTGCCATATAATTCTTACTTGAAGCGTCTTAACCCTTGATTGAAAGAATGATATTCATTTTTTTTTTAATTACATATATCTAACGTTGGCATAAATAGACATTGAATTTTGTATATATGCTTATATATGATTGCAAAATTACAATTAGTTTGCAAATATTACACCAAATTTGACGCTAATATTTGTATTAACAAATGTTGGATTCTGTCGTCTGTAATGCAGAAAATTTATTATAAAACGAATAGATCGTGATGACAAAGCATGAACATGTGGCATGAAATGTGACATGTATATATTACAAGTAGGTTATTTAAATAATATTTAGTTGATATATGCCATTAATCACGTGTTGCACTAATGAATTTTAATCAAACAGCAATATTAGTAAAATAAAATTATTCGAGTGAACGAATTGTTTTGTAACTTGTGAATTAAGTTTTGTATTATTGCCATTTTGTAGATCAAATACTTGCCAAGCAATTAAAATTATTATTCTAAAGAAGAAAAAAGTTCTGAATCACGAAACGTATCACAAACTTAATTCATTATGTGCTGTGATTAGATATTCTTAAATATATCAAGTTAGTTAAGTGTACTGTGATTAAGTCTGCAATTTTTAAATAAGACTTTATTTGATAGTTATATATATAGGGGAAGACGTGGAGGAGGGAGAGTACACGACATAACTAAACTGTATTCTCTATCTACGTAATTCATTTTTTTGGTACAATTTGGAGGTAGACGTAAATCAAATAAATATTGTATACCATACCAAAATAAAGTTGCATGCCGACTAAATTTAAACAGGAGAACATCGCTTTCCTGTACTTGACTTTTCGTGCTACTAACATATTATTAACCAAAGGCTTAATATTTAACTATACATTTATTATGTATGAAATAGTGAATTTATTATAAGAAAGCTATATTTCTGCTAATATATGTTTATAAATTTATCTTTCTCTACAGTTTATATAAGAATTTATGAGGTATACTTAAAGCTACTGTTTCTTCTCTCCTAAACTTTAAGAAGAAGCATGATTTATACGCTGTTATTAAAAATTAAGACAGCAACAATCTTATGTTTCTGTACTAATAATTGCTAATTCATAATATAGAATCCAAAATAATAAAATAAATATGTATATATATATGTGTATCCCCTGTGTGCCTTGTCGACTCAGTTATATATACACACACATATATTTATTCTATTATGCTTTTATATATTAAATATATACATATATATAATAAATCATGATTTATTACAATATACTCATAGTTCAGTAAAATTATTATAAATGACGAGAATAGCACAATGCTCAAGTTAATTGAGTATTTTTTTCTGACAATAAAATAATTTCGATACAATGAATTTATTCTTCAATCAACGTACAACGTAAATATTGACGGTTAGATTCTATATGTTCAAGGAGCAATCAAGGGTTAAATCCTTCATTAAACAATGCAAACGATATAACTTCCATATTCTGCGCGTACATGTAGTATTTTCTAACATTAATGTTTTCAGCTAAAATGAAAATATGTGTGTGTGTGTGTATATATATATATATATATACACAGGATAGATATCATTATTTTACATAATTCAATTTCATAATAAAACTTTATATAAATACCTGTTTGTTATACGCATTCTTGTCGAATGTTTGCCTATGAAATCGTTATATAGCTCATCCATATTATTTACTTTTCTAATAACTAATTAGAATTTTCATATTAGTTTATAATTTCTTTTAATACTAATTCATTATTGATACTTTTTAGATAGAAATAAATCATTCATAAATATCATTCAAAATATTCATGTTCCAACTATTACAATCGAAAAAGATCAAGTTTTACGTAAAATTCAATTATATGTCAATTTTGCCTGTTGAAATTCTTCAAATGTATTAAGGTACATATATAAACTTATATTTAATATATTTCATCTTATCCAATATACGATATCAAAATGTTCACGACAAAGTTATATCTGTTTTTGAAATATACCTAATATAAATGATATACAGCTTATTTTATTGACCTTAATTGCATATCATATCCGACTGTAAACAGCGTATTTTATTTAGAAATTTAATTAAGTAATAACGCTCCAATATTTTCGGGGCAATGGGCTTCGAATTACTAAAAACATTGAAATATTTCGATTGAAGTTGCATTTATTTTCGAGCACCTAAGTAAATATAAAATTGTTATACGTCTAGTTATAATTCTGTATGTATCTATATCACTGTCATGTTACTGTCGCTATAATATTTTTATTTATATATATATATAAACTAACTTCTAATTACATATGAAATAGTAAATGTAGGCTTGAGTGTATACAGTAATATATATGGCACGTCAGTCTGTACGTTTAATTACTTAATCGTAATTATTAAATACTACTATACGTTATCCGTCACTGAATTTTATGAATCATTTTATTGTGTTTGGCATTGTTCATGGCTGATGGCTCTAGCACTACCGTATCATTTCCATATACTTCTGCTTATGTTTGCTTAACATTTCAGTCACTGTTACCAGCTGTTTAATTGTCGGCTGTAAGCAATAAATGTAATATTTTTAACCATAAGCAGCCTGCATCTTCATAACTATAAATTAGAAACGTACCTGTGTCTTCGACAGAACTTGAAGTTCCTTCAAATGTGACACACAGATATGATGCAACGTCGCCAAATCTCTTGCAGTATCAGATACACTTTTATTTCTTGGATCTGTAGATTCTGATGGTTCTGGTTTCTCAGCAACATTCTGCGTATTAAATAGCACAAGTTAAATACAATCTTTGTCTTTTATCATAATCCATTTCGAAATTTATATGAAAAATCGTGCAGGAATAAATGTGGTATATATATAGAATACAAAATAAACTTACAGACAGTTGGTCAAGGAATACTACCATTCGTTCTTTATTTTTGAGTATGAATGGATTTACGACTTCCATGTACGGTTCTTTTCCACCAAATTCGACTAAATTAGCCAGATTTTGTAGACATTTTGCCACCATAACTAACGATCTATGAATAAATAAAGAATTAATATAGCAGAATGAATCTCGAAGGTATTCAAAATGATTCGGTAATTGTTATTTCAATTCACGTACTAATTTTTTTTAAACTAAAATCAATTAACTTTTTAAATTTATATTTAGTTTATACGTGTCGTACCTCGCAGCAGATGGAGGTGGTGGCTCAGCTATTAGATTAAACGATCTAGGGTTTAATATGGCAGGGCAGAGAAGGCGTAGAAATATAAATCCGCTGACAACCCGAGTTCTGACTAGTCTTTCGTGTGGCCACTTAGCAACAACTGCTCGTTGTAAGCATCCGCAAATGTATCTGAGAGTTCTCGGACAAGCGTCGGGGCTTGTAAAGATACTTAATGTAACTTCATCCAATACCTAAAACGAAAAAATATTACGCAATAATATTTTTACTAATACTTCGCATAAATTAGCATGTAACGCTGCAAAAGAAACTATGTACTTGTAATAAAAATTCCGCATTATTGCACGCATCTTCCGGGGAATCCATTTTCGTTGGATTCAGTTCGCAACTCTGTTTACTTTCAATTAGTTTCACGATCGTATCACGCAAAGCAGCCTTTAAAAACGAAGTACAAACAGATTTCATATATAAATCCATTAAAGTGGTAGTAAGACTGGCAGCTCTGAACAGAGTTGGTGTTTCATCTTCTTTCTCAACCTAATTGAAATACATTTTGTAATTTCGTATGTTTAATAATATTTTTTGCTTGTATACCAAATATACAAATAACTCACTTCAGCTTGATTCAATGATCGCAGGAGTTCCGCCTCTTTTCTTTCATGCCTAAACAAATCAATAATGTGAAAATCGATATATTCTTAATCATCACGCGTAAAAATAAACCACTAATGCAGTAAAAACACTACCAAAATGTAGTACTACTCATACCAGCAGTGACACTACTACATTTGTACAGTATTTCCTACTACAGGAGTGTTTTCATTGCACTAACAGTTAATTTTTACTATACGCGCGATCGTACCCTTAATTTATTGATATTTTAGGATAATTTGTACCTAAAGATTCTGAGAAGACTATTTGCCAAAGGTACTCTATCTAAGTGGCATACGTCCGCTAATGCCTTAACAACATGCAGTTCAGGATCTAATAATAATTGCTGAAGAGGGCTGTATTCCTCAGGAGGCATAGCTAAATCGTGTCTGTATCTGTAATATACATAAACATATTTTTACTAATATACAAGACTTTTACAATAAGAAATATATATAACTGAAATTTTTTTTTATTATCTTATATGTGAGCGAATATTCTTAATCTTTACCGTATGCGTAAACGCAATGCGCCCCATTCACCAATTGGTGTCACTCCCGATAATGGATACCATTCGTCCATTTCTTCTCCATTAGTCAAACTCGCCAATTCAACTGTTAGATCAGCAACCTCCGTGTCCTTGCTGCGCTTGCCCTTGTTGTACAAAGTGAGCGAGAAGGACATGACATCTGGCGGTACATCCCTGCCACATTAATTATTAGGCAAATTAATAATTATTATTATCAGCAAGAAGATTTATGTTACCCAGCGGCTAGTTCACGTAAGATTCACATACGTACTCTAGAATGAATTCCTCATCCCAGAGCGGATGCAATCCCGTTTTAACCTTCGTGCGAGCGACTTTAACATTATTTAGGGCCACTATGATAAACGGACTCGGAACTAGCTTGTACGGAAGCCTATGTGCGTCTAAGATATGCAGATGCAATGAACGTAATTCACGGAGGCGGGCGACTTTCGGAGCACGGGTGAGTTGTGATACACATAATGGTTTTAAGGCATTAATCCAGTCTAATGCGTTCTCGGAATTCGGGGCAGCCAGATAAGTTATTGTGGCCAGACACGGTAAAGCACGTTCAACTAATTGGAAACAATGAGGCCTATCAAACACACTTTCGTGGACCTAAAAGAACATTTCGATAACTCATCCCGCGTTAACTCTAAGATGTTATTTGTTTCATTTGTTTTATAAGACATGGCACATGTAAATCATGCATGTTATTACAATTGCTCTTATTAAATCTTTCATAAAAATCTTAGATTTTGATGTGTTAATGCTCACATATGTCGTTCAATGTTTCGATATGCATTTCTCACCTGATATAAGTAAGCACAGCTTAAGTCAATGAGACCTTTTGGCTTGGTCCTCTTAGGATTGTCGTATAGATAGAGATGCGTATCGGTAGCATCCACCAATAAAACAAAGTATAACGCTTTCCACTTTTTATTTTTCTCCGATTTCTTTTCCAAATATCCCTGCATTTTAATCCCTTTGTTTTTCTTCGCTCCCGATTGCTCTCGACATTCCCTCAGAGTCGCATATATTTTCTCAGCATGCTGAACCTCCCTATTTACTCTAACGCTACCATCAGGTTCGGTTACCATTGCTTGAACCAAAGTATGTCCCTCCACAATTTGTTCTTTTCGATATCTGCGATATAACGATATGGCAAGATAAAGTAAGACTATCAAAAAATATTATTTTTCGCGGAAAATTAAAATAGCAAAAATATACCTGTTAATTACAGCGTCAAGGCATTCAAACGTTCTACCCCCCATGAGATAGCGTACCCCTTTTTTCTCGATTCTAAATCTCTGTATTTGGTTGTTTATGTGGAAGAAAAGTGAGTAATCTCCCGGACTGTTGTCCGATGGTCTGACCTGTGGAGTAAAATTATAAAAATATGTTGAGTGCAGAAAAATAAAATCAAAGAACA